GTTGAGAAGGAGTCGTCCGACTTCTGTCATTGAGGACAAACGGGCGGCGTGCTTCAGTTCTCACTGTCCACACGGGTGCTTCGGTCTGGATGGCGGCCTGCCGTGCAGCAGAACAGAGCACACTCACAGTTGTTCCTCCACGTGAGCCCATTGTTGCAGCCACGGTGTTGGTCCGTCCGTCCGTCTCCTTGAAGGTCGTCCTCGTTCCCGCTGGTCCTCTTCGGGTCCAGCATGATGTCCTTCTCCAGAGACCGGTCTCTTCTGACACACAGCACATGAGATGAGGTCGCAGGCCCGTCCTTGCTTGTAAAGAGCATTCTGTTAGCGCTTTCTAAGACGCATGGATTTGTTCTTCGGGTACATGCAGTGTTCTCCAATAGCATCACGTAGATACATGAATGCTTCTTCAGGCCTCCCAATTCGTGGTCCAGCCTTCCCACGCAGGTGAGGCGACTGAATCACCATGGCTCGGACCAGGCGTCCCCGAGCCCTCGCAGGGACAGCTTTGCTCTTTGACACTCTAACCCCTCTTTTGCCGCACATTTGCCCGATGCAGTATGTCGTTTGGTTTCTCGACGGCTGCTTCCATGAGCATTGCTTATGGATTCAGGTAAAATAAAATCTTTGACAACTTCCGTCTTCCCCGTGCGGCAGGCTGTTGTTCACTGGTCCAGTTGTAGAGAGTTTGGATTCTTCATGAGTGTAATCCTTTCGTCCCGAGGGCCAGATAGTCTGCGATATTCATCATCCCGGCTTCAAGTCCTCTTCACTTTCAGTAAGCAAGTTCGTGATACCGGCACGTTGCCTTCCTCAAATCCAGTGGGTCTCAGCCTTCCTGATGCTGCCACCCTTTCATGCAGTTCCTCCTGTGGTGGTGACCCCCAACCATAACATTATTTTCATTGCTACTTCATCACTGTCATTTTGCTACTGTGATGAATCGGGCATCGACCTGCAGGTGGAGAACCTCTGCTCCAATCCCAATGCTGTGCTCTTCCGCGTACCGTCCAGCTGCTGGGATTCCCTGCTCAGCATTCAGATGGAAGAAGTATGGTGAGAGGGTGCAGCCCCGACACACCACACTTCCTGCTGCTTTCAGATCACGTGCCAGCCCCGTGCTCTGCTCCAGGGACTGTTTCTCAGACGCCGCGGGGGTTCCATGAGGGCAAATTAAGTGCTCTGGAAATACCTGTTCTTCTCAATGTTCTCCATGGTTTGTGATGATCCTATGAACAGGGATCGGCTTGATGGCAGTAACGTTTTTGTTTTTATATAATAAATCCTATGATTGTCACATTCAAAAGAATCAGGATCTGGGCGTTTCAGCTCCCGGCTGCACGGCCTGTCGGTCGTGTTACGTGTCTTTATCTGATAACCTCCGATTTCCCGAGATTTAAGCTTCCTACCTTCCGCATGCTGATCATTAATGGCTGCCACTGTTTCTTCACCTTTCGAGTCTCTGCTGGAAACGACAGTAGGTCGCCCGCCACAGGTGACCTGGCTGCTACTTGGAAGGCTGGTGGCCTCCCTCCCTCCCAGGATCGTTAAGACACCACTGTCTGACCAAGCTCGTGGACAGGCAGCGTGGTGGGCGGCAGAGTGGGCCACATACAGGATGGGCCCTGCTTGTTCTCCGGCAGCCCGGGCAAGTGCTGCAGAGCCTGTGGGGCCCACTGTGCAGGACCGGTGCTCAGAGCCGGGGCCACTTGAGAGGACCGTGCCGGGCTAGGCAGGCTGATCTAGGACCCGTTCTGATTGGTTTGTTCAAGTTAAATAGTGACTAAGGACATGATGAAGAAGGGATGCTTGCAAGACCCAGAACTATGGCATGACAAACACCAGCGTACCTGTCAGCCAGGGAACTCGCGTGTTGCGTTGCTGAGAACGGACACGTCCAGCCGTTTCTCCCTGGACAGCTCACTGATGTCTGGAACCATTCTCCCCACCTTTTCCCAGCCGTCCTCCCCTGTCAGTGTCAGCGCCCTGCCCGGGGGTTCCCGTTCAGTCTCGCTGTTGTCCAGAGTGACTGCTGTCAGTTTGATCCCATATAGAGAATTCCAAAAAGAACACAACACTGCTTCCCAGTGAAGCTAAACTAGTGTTTGCTTTTAAGAAGACTTCATTAGATTAAACAACAAGGAACTTTGTCATCTTCTGTGCCCTTTTCGATCCCATTTTCTCTCCTTTCCTTTTCCAAATTCTGGGAAGCCCGCTCTCTTCCCTCTTTGTTGTTCGAGGGCCTATGCAGTATAGTCCTTAATCTTGGGTAGGAGTCCAGCTGTGTCTGGGTAAACGCATCTTTCGGTCTCTTTCTTGTCTTCGGAACACTGTCTTCTTCTCTGTCTTCTGTTAACGGACTCTTTCCAACCGCCCTGGGGGTGCCATAGTTATTTGCTCAGCTGAGAACCACAAGAAGGACTGACCATCCAGTGGCTTCTGGGGGTGCAGGGGGGTCGGGGGAGACCTGGCAGTCTGTTCCTATGAAGGCGACTGCCTGGGAAAGCCTATGGGCCAGTTCTGCCCCACCACACTGGCCCACTGACGGAATGCCGCACGGCCGCCAGCAGCAACATGGAATCTCTGATTGCCAACAGTATTTCCTTTCTTTTCTTCTTAAAATCAGTTTATTGGGGGCTCGTCCAACTCTTATCACAATCCATCCATCCATCCATTGTGTCAAGCACATTTGTGTGTACATTTGTTGCCATCATCATTCTCAAAACATTTTCTTTCTACTTGAGTCCTTGGTATCAGCTCCTCATTTTTCCCCCTCCCTCCCCTCCCCACCTCCTCACAAACCCTTGATAACTTATAAATGATTGTTATTTTGTCATGTCTTGCACTGTCCAACATCTCCCTTCACCCACTTTTCTGTTGTCCATCCCCCAGGGAGGGGGTTATATGTAAATCCTTGTGATCAGTTCCTCCTCTCTCCCCCACCCTCCCCTGACCCTCTTGGTATCGCTACTCTCATTATTGGTCCTGAGGGGTTTATCTGTCCTGGATTCCTGTGTTTCCAGCTCTGATCTGTAGCCAACGGTATTTTTGTTTCCTGGAGTTCTGTCGTTTTCATCCTTTTGCACCATCATTCCAGAGCTCATTTTGATTTTGTCACTTGGCAATGGCTGCGTGGGTTCATGGTTCCTCCCGGAGGAAGTGCGGCACTGTGTCAGGGGCTAGGGATGCGGCAGGGAGTGGCAGAGGTGGCCCTGCTCAGGTGCGGGGGGAGGTGGGGGGGTGTGGTACAGTCTGAGGAGTGAGCAGGTGCTGGTGGGAGAGACCCATCGGGGCTACGGAGAAGGCACGCAAGGCCTTCGGTAGATGATTGCTCTTCAAGATGCAGGGTCCCTTCCCTGTCCCTAATTGTGCCTTTGAACCGATCCCAACTCATAGAGGGTAGAGTAGAGCTTCCCACAGCGGTCCCTGGATTGTCATTGTCACAGCATTATATTGCCAGATTTTCTCCATCACCCCTGGGCCCTTACAGAAGCCCCTGGGTGGGCTTGAACTACGGACCTTTTAGTTGGCAGGTGAGTGCTTAGCCCTTGTGCCCTGGACGGGGGCTGTGTGAAGTGTATGGGATGGAAGCTCTGCCATGGGGTGCTGTGGACCTGAATCCTGAGATCCAGACCCCGGGGTTTATGGAATCAGGCCGCTTGTTGGGTGGGGGGGTGGGGAAAGCTTTGAGGGGGTACTGGCACATGGTGTTAAGCATGGCCCTGAAGTCTGTGCGGGCTAGCTGCTGGCCTGCCCTGGCTGTCCCGGTCACTCCTCCTCACATGCAGAGCAGGAATGGCCGTGTCCCCTGGGGAGGGACTCTGAGTGAGACTAGCCACCAGTGCTGGACACGGACACATGGGAGCCAGTGTAGCTGTGGGCGTCATTCTGCAAGCTGGCCCTCCGCCCTGGGGCGCGGCTCGTGTTCACGCTCTCACCTTCACCGGGAGCCCTCCCTCCTGCCCCAGGGTGCTCTCTGCCTGGGTGTCTGGAGTGGAGGCTCCCCTCTGCCAGCAGCTATGCCCCTCCTGGCGTGGCACCCCACTGAGCTCCAGGGGAGGGACTGTCCTGGGCTCCTCGTCGTTGCTCACACTTAGCCCACAGGATCATTCAGTCCAGCCAGTTGGGCTTTGCGCTGCCCTCCCCTTCTCCTTTACCTCTCCCCCCTCCTGAAAGTCTGTCCGCTTCTGGGCAGCAGCAGGGCTCCCTCTCAGCTCTCCACGGTCCTCTCCCCCAGCAGTTCGGGGTTCTGCTGCTGCTGCAGACCCTCGGGGGCTCCCCTGGAAGTCAGGCCAAAGCCTGCCTCATCTCCTTGTTCTGCCATGCGCCACACCCCTCTCCTGCCTTTCCCCATTGTCTCCTTCCTGCTCACTGTACCCCCATCCCCAAGTCCTCTCCTGCTGCAGGCCTCTGAGAGACCCTCGACAGCACGGCCGGCTGTCCTCCCCTCGAGCCTCAGAGGGCCACCCTGATGACCCTCGATAAGTAGCCCCCACTCCCTCCTCTCGTAATCTCCATTCCTTATCTGCTTGCTTTCCCCTCCCTCCCCCAGTGCCACTGAGGCAGAGCCCCGGCCTGTCCAAGCAGCCCCTGTTCATTGCTGGGTCCTGGGCTGGCATTTGTTGGTCCCATTTGATGGCAGGATGTGGAACCCGGCTCAGAAGCCAAGTGAGTCGCCCAAGGTCACCCAGCAGGAGGTACAGGCCGACTCCAGTGCCAGGCCTGAGCCATCACACTGTGGCCTCTGCCAGTGCCCAGTGCCAGGAGGGGCTGGGCAGGAGGGCTCACTCTGTGGGCTCTGGCCGACCCCACCCAGGCAGGTCCCTGGAGGTCAAGGAGTGACACTTCCTTTGGAGGCTGGTGGCACAGAGGTCTCCTGCCTGCCGTAGCACGGCTGGATTTAGGGGCTCCAGGGGCTGGGATTGGGGAGGCCAGGTCAATGGTGATGGAGAGCCTGTTGGGGAGGCTACCCAATGACCTGTCCTTTGTCTCCCCCCGCCCAGGCCGCACCAGCTTCTACGAGGAGTACGGCGTCATCCGGGATGTCCTCCAGAACCACCTGACGGAGATCCTCACCCTGGTGGCCATGGAGCTACCCCACAATGCCAGCGACCCCGGTGCCACGCTGCGGCACAAGCTGCAGGTCTTCCGGGCGCTGCGGGGCCTGCGGAGGGGCAGTGCCGTGGTGGGCCAGTACCAGGCCTACAGTGAGCAGGTGCGCCAGGAGCTGCAGAAGCCGGGTGACTTCCAGAGCCTGACTCCGACCTTTGCAGGTGGGCCCCGGGCTCCCAGGCCTAGGAGCCTTGCTCTGGGCTGGAAGGGACTTGCAGGGGGCGGGCTTGCCTCCACCCACCCCCCGCCCTCCCCCTCTCCCCCGCCTCCCCCCGAACTGGGTGCTCTTGTGGAATGCCCTGCCCATGTCCCTGGTCTCTAACTGCTGAGGGCCGCGGTCCCCTCTTGGCCTCTGGGGTGAAGGACATCCCAGTGGCATCTCCAGATCAGCCCCCCCCCCCCCCCCAGTTAGCCCAGGGTCATGGGGTCTCACTGGGGCTAGCTGGTCCGACACAAACAAAGAGCCCCAAACCGTCCAGCCACAGGGGCCACTCCAGTGGTCTGAGCTAGAAGGAGAGGGCTGGGGGAGACGGCCTCACTCAGCTGGGAGGGAGATAATCACTGCACAGCTAGAACAGCATCAGCCTCCGGACCCCTCGCTTGTGCCAGGCTCCTGAATACACCATTTCCTTCAGTGCCATGTACACACGCGGCTGGGTACGTAGTCAGCCTGTTTTAAAGATGAGGAGAGGAGAGGTGAGGCTCTGTGCAGCTGTGAAAACCTGCCATGAACTTGCAGAGGGGGCTTGGAAGGCGGGTGGGTCTGGAGCATGCTCAGAGGCTGGCTGGTCCACCAGGTTCCCGCTGCGGGCAGCCTCGCCCTGCAAATCATGGGCCTGTGGCCCCTCACTCGTGCCCCTGACCTCTACTTTCCTGGGTGCGAGTATGTCCTGAGTGCTCCCCAAACAGGACTGCGCTTTTCCCTATGGGACCCCCGCCCCAGAGTCAAGGCCTCCCTCCTCCATGAGACTTCTCCCTTGGAGCCCCCGGGCTGGTGACGCTTGGCCCAGCTCCCCGAGCTCTGTGGTCTGAGACCTGATGAGGCAGGTGCCTCAAGGGACAGGAAGGTCCAGTGGCCCCTGTTCTAGCCCTGGCGGAAAGAGCCTCGATCTGGGCGTGCGTGTGTGCGTGTGCGTGCGTGCGTGCGTGCGTGCGTGTGTGTGTGTGTGTGTGTGTGTGTGTCTCCCGGGATGAGGGTCTAGATGAGACTGCATTCTGGGCGTGCGTGTGTGCGTGTGCGTGCGTGCGTGCGTGCGTGCGTGTGTGTGTGTGTGTGTGTGAGTGATGAGTACCAGTCCCTGTGTGTGCGCATGTAAGATGAGTACCGGTTGCTGTGCGTGTGTGTAAGGTGAGTACCAGTCGCTGTGTGTGCATATATGTGTGTGATGAGTGCCAGTCACTATGTGTGCATGGGTGTGATGAGTACCGGTTACTGTGTGTACGTGTGTGTGCATGTATAAGGTGAGTGCCCGTCGCTGTGCATGTGTGTAAGATGAGTACCAGTCACTGTGTGTGCGTGTGTGTGATGAGTACCAGTTACTGTGTGTGTGTGTGTGTGTGCGTGTGTAAGGTGAGTACCAGTCACTGTGTGTGCGTGTGTCAAGTGAACGCTGCCTCCAGGTGACACGGGGGACGTCAGGGGCTGTGCTCCACGGGCTGTCATCGCTGGGTTGGGGAGTCGATGGCTCTGTCTGTCTGTCTTCTAAGGTGCCTCTGGGCAGCCTTGGACTCCCAGCTTTTAGTTAGCAATCATGCCTGTTAACCAGCTGGTTCCTCTCAGAAAACAACTGGAGGGGCGCAGCACCCGTTCCTTGTGCCCGAGCATCACTGCCACTGTCCCTGTCCCCTCAGGTGTCCTCGTTCATATCGACAGCCTTCGCTGGGAAGGCGTCCCTTTCCTCCTGGTGTCCGGCAAAGCCTTGGACGAGCGCGTGGGCTACGTGCGGGTCCTGTTCAGGAACCAGGCGTACTGTGTCCAGAGCGAGAAGCACTGGGCCACGGGCCAGAGCCAGTGCCTGCCTCGGCAGGTCATCTTCTACATCGGGCACGGCGACCTGGGCCACCCTGCCGTGCTGGTCAGCCGGAACCTGCCTCGGCCCCGGCTGCCCTCAGACAGCTGGAAGGAGGTGGGGGCACCCCCTGGGCTCCACCTCTTCGGCCGCCCTCTGTCTGATTTCTACACCTACCGCCCCGTGACGGAGCGGGATGCCTACTCTGTCCTCATCTCCCACATCTTCCACGGCCGCAAGGACTCCTTCATCACCACCGAGAACCTGCTGGCCTCTTGGCGCTTCTGGACGCCCCTGCTGGACAGCCTGGCCCGGGAGGCCCCACGCCACTACCCAGGAGGAGCCGAGAGCGGCCACCTGTTGGACTTCGAGCTCAGGGGCAGCCAGCTGTCCTTTGCCCAGCAGCAACTGGAGCAGCTGGTGCCTGGGCCCGGCGCCGCCCCAATGCCCAGTGAGTTCCGCATCCTCAATGCCACATACCGTGAGAGCCCAGTGGTCCTGTCCTGGTCAGCAGAGCTGATTGCAAAGCTGGCCAGCGACATCGAGGCTGCAGCCACGCGCGCTGTGCAGCGCTTTGGCCGCTTCCACCTGGCACTCTCAGGTGGCTCAAGCCCCGTGGCCCTCTTCCAGCAGCTGGCCCTGCGGCACTTCACCTTCCCCTGGGCCCACACGCACCTGTGGCTGGTGGACGAGCGCTGCGTCCCACCCATGGACCCCGAGTCCAACTTCCAGGCCCTGCAGGCCCACCTGCTGCAGCACATCCGTGTCCCCTACTTCAACATCCACCCCATGCCCGTGTACCGGCACCAGCGGCTCTGTGCCGAGGAGGACCAGGGCGCCCAGCACTACGCCCAGGAGATTGCAACCCAGGTCGCCAACAGCACCTTCGACCTGGTGCTGCTGGGCATGGGCACTGACGGCCACACGGCCTCGCTCTTCCCCCAGTCGCCCACCGGCCTGGATGGCGAGCAGCTGGTTGTATTGACCACCAGCCCCGCCGAGCCCCGCCAGCGCATGAGCCTCAGCCTGCCGCTCATCAACCGGGCCAGGAGGGTGGCCGTGCTGGTCATCGGCAGGATGAAGCATGAGGTCACCATGCTGGTCAGCCGTGTGGGCCACGAGCCCAAGAAGTGGCCCATCTCGGGGGTCCTGCCGACGTCGGGCCAGCTGGTGTGGTACATGGACTACGAGGCATTTCTGGGATGAAGGCTCCCATGCCTTCCTGCTGACTCTCTCTGTCCTCCCTCCCCCCCAGCCACCTGCCCACACGCCCGCTCTCTGGATGCCGGTGCCCAGGGCCAGACCTCCAGAGAGGGGAGGACCAGGCCCGCTCCTCTCCCCTGGCCTTGTTGTGGGTGTGCAGACAGAAGCAAAGGCGGAGTGGCATCCCCACTCCCAGGAAGCTTCAAATCCAAGTCGGGGGAGCAACCACACCTTAGCAAAAAGACGACAGCCTCCCCCAAGCTCACTGCCACTAAGGTGATTCGGGCCCTGACCTGAACACCCACCAGCACTAAACAGGCCTGTGAGAAAGCCCAGGTGCAAAGAGACCCTGGGTAACTGGGAGCACTTTCTGGAGGAGGAGGAGGGAGGAGGCTCTGGGATCCGCTCCCATGGAACCAGAAGAGTGTGGGTGGGAGTGGCGGGAACCGGGCAGGGTGGAGGCCTTGGGCTGCCAGGCCTTGCTCCCCTGCACAACCCCCCCACCCCCACTTCCCACCTGCTCATCTTGATGGCGGCCCCACCTGCTCCCTCTCGCCAGGCTCCTCTCGCCATCCTGACCCGAGCTCTATCCAGCCCGCACCCTGCCTCCTTGCCGTCCTTCAGAAACAGCACACGGGTGGGGGTGGGCGAGGTGGCCTTCATCACTGCAGGAAGACAGGTGGGTAGGTGGCAGTGACGGTTCTACCGCTGCAGATACCAGGCAGCTACGGGGAGGAGGGTTCTGGAAATTGTAAGGCTGGTGTTTGGAGCACCCTCTCTTGGCTGACAACCTTGTCAGTGTTGGGGTCTGGCTCCCTCACGAAGGGACCCTGCCCTCTTCCGGACTCTGGGAGCTAAACTGGGCGTAGGTGGCCAGGCCATTCCGGGGACCCCCACTTCACAGAGCCATTAACATCTCAGGGGCTTCGTGTTCTCAGGGGAGACCCTGGAACCAGCCATTCATCCCGGCAGGCAGCCCTGTTGGGACAGGCAGGAGCCAGACTCCGTGGCCAGTGAGGTGGCGGCAGCTCACTGGCAGCGGTGGTGGCCCTGTGCATGGAGGGCGGCACCACCAGCCTATCGCTCCCTCTTGGCCTGGCGTCGCAGCCTGCCCACCTCCCGCCCACAGGCCCTTCCCTGCCCCCTCTCACCTCTCCACTCTCCCACTCCTGCCCCGGGGAAAACCCACCACTGGTGTCTTGTTAGCCAGGCCCTCGGGGAGCCAGCAGCCAGCAGCGCCTGCCTGCTTCGCTGCACCCCCCAGGAGGGGTCCCTGGAGGCTTCAGCCCCCAAACTCTTGACACACTGATGTTTCAAGTCAACTTCCAGCGTAGGTGTGCTGTCCCTCCCCCAGGTACAGGCATAAGACAGGGTGTCCGTGCCACTTGGTAATGTCACACAGAACTCTGGAGGGGAGGCCGTGTGTCTGGCAAGCAGGTGCCCCTTTTTTCTCCCCTTCAGATGCTTGACACTTTTCACAGGAACCGACAAGGAGGGCAAATGTCTTCTTTCATTTAGATTGTTGCCCCGGAAGGGACTGAGCCAGGGCAGGGCCTCCTCTCCCCAAGGCGCTCTTATTAAAGTTCTGCTTACTCTGCCTCCAGCGACCCAGTCCAAACAGAGCATCTCTCTAACCCAAAGCAGCTGACCTTGGGAGTCAGGGCCACGCTGCTCCTGTGAGAACCCGCCTCCCTGTTGATGGGGGTCAGCAGGACGGCTGGTGGGCAGTGGTGGGCCAGATCCCACCTCTGGCCACATGGGGGCGTTCCTGCACCAGCCCTGCCCAGCTGGCTGGCTTCTGCTGGGGATGTTTGTGTTTCCATATTTTCTTCCCCAGGTCTTTGGTCCCAGCACACCCCCATCTGTCCTTTGGGGACTTCCTTGTCTGTGTTTGAAACGCCAGAGGGAGGGGCCGCTTGTGCCCAGACCTCACTGCAGGGCTCGGATGAGTAGTATTTCTGAGCAAGCCTGAGTCATGCCAGGCCTGAGCTAGGATGTCCTGTTCTTGCTCAGGAGTGATGACCTCAAAATGTGCCCATTATCTACGACTGGGGGCTGGGGGCAGGAGAGGACAGGTCCGCAGGGTGGGGGCGGCAAGAGAGGCCAAGGCTTCCTTTCCAGAGTCAAGCGTTTCCTTAAAATCACATTGGGAAAAGTTTGAACTTTGAGAGGGCTGGGGGGTGTCTCAGATCCGGGCCACCCTGGCCTGCGACTCACAGCAGGAAGCAAGCAGGCCTGACCCCCACCCCCAGCCAGGGCTCGCATGCACGCGTCCCTGGCTTCAGCAGAAGCTTCTTAAAGGGATTCTTCCCCTCTGAACCTGGGCTGCCCTCGGTCTTCCATTTGGAAAAATGATTCCGTTAAAAACATTTAGCCAAAAAAAAAAAAATTTTTTTTTTTAGCCAATCCCTCAAATTGCGTAGGATGTTTTGGAAGTGACTGCTTTCAAAGGTTACGTGCCGGCTGTTAACACCCCCCTGGCACCTCTGCGGAAGAAAGGTGTGACCCTGTGTTTATGTCAGGACCCCCAAACCGAAGTCAACTGGATTTCTACTTGTGATGGGCAGAGCTGCCCACGGGGTCTCCAAGGTTGTCCTCTTTCCGGACACGGACTGTTGCAAGTGTTCTCCTCTGGAGCACTGGACCAGAGCACCTCCCGTACAGATCACTCAGTGCCAAAAAGCCCGGCGGGGCTGTTCTTTGCTGGTGCACAGGGTCTCTATGATGGCGCCCCAGTCGACTTCCTGCCTGCCAGATGCTCAGGGCCACCCTGGGGCTGGTCCAGGCCCTCTGTCCCTGCCTCTCCAGGTAGGCTCCTCCCAGCCTCTTAGGCCGCCGCCCTCCAGGGAGGCTGTGTGGGGCTGCCCAGTGGGGCCCGGCTCCCAGGACTGTGGCGCCAGCTGCCCCCTTGGGAGCCGTCGTCAGGGGCCTGGAGCACACCTGAGTGAGAGTTCATTGTCCTCTGTGCAGAGGGGCCTCTAGGGTCAAGCACGGCACCAAACCCTCCACAGGACGCCACCTTCTTCGCACCTTGTAAGGGCCATGAGGAGGGGGGTGGGATTTTGAAGCAGAAATCCTGGTACAGGGTACGCTGTAGGCAGTGAGGAGCCACACTTAGAAGGCAGGTCCTTGGGACCGGAGGCGACCCAGAGTCCCAGAGCCAGGCTCCCCAAGGAGGTGCGTGCGTGCGTGAGCATTGGTGCCTCTGTGTGGTAGACCCTTTGGGGGGACTTGGTCGGTTAATGAGCATCTCTGGTGCCATTGGCATAGCTGCTCTTTGGGAAACCATCCAGGGACTCTCCGGGCTGCTGCATCCCAGGTTCTGCTGTGAAAGGGGGGGGACTGTACCCACCGACCCGGAGTTCCAACAGCTTCGGCTTCATTCGCCTTCTTGGGCCTCCAACTAAGTACATAATCAGAGGTCACTAACCCAGCATGGCTGAGACCATCCCCTCGATTGTGGTCATTCCGGAACCCTCAGGGCCTGGCTGTGACCCCTGCCCTGAGCACTTCCGCTGGTCTTGCCCAGCTCTCCTCTTTCCCCACCTTCGGGGCCACCCAGGGAGCAGTGGGGAGGGGCGGGATGCGAGGTCCTGGTAGCACCTATGAAAGCTCAGAAAGCCCAGTGCGACAGGAAAATGTAGCTTCTCAGTGAGTCTCCAGCTTCTCCCAGCAGCCGTCTGCAGCCACACTCCGGGCCGGGTGCTTGTCTGCAGGTGGAGCCACCCCACGGCCCCCCCCTTCCCCCCCCAGGCTGTCATCTTTCCGGACACAGACCCCTGGCTGCTGGCCAAGAGGCCGAACGTCCGAGAAGGGCATTGGGGGGAGCAAGGGTGAGGCTGCCCACCCTACAAAGGCCCACCTTGGTGGTGATCCTATAGGGTGTAAGCCACTCAGGGGTGCTGGTCAATTTGCTCAAGTGACCTTTCCAAGGGCGGAGAAGGTGGTCCCTGAGGGGGTGCCTGGCTGGTACTGTCTCACTCAGGCTCGACTGGGCCTGCAGTCCGTCTTTCGCACACAGCGGGTGCTGCTGCCTCCTGGACATACGTATTGTGCCCCTTGCCTGCCCTTCGGATGAAGGGACGCTGTCATGACCATGCAGGCCCCGCCTCCTGGCCCTGCACCAAGGCGGACGCACCGGCCTGGGCAAGCACAGCAGTCCCGGCCTTTCCCAGCCCTTGTCCTGGCAGCCCAAGCGGCCGGCTGCTGTGTCCGGAAGCCGTGCAAAAGCAGATGTCTGGGGGGGTGAGGGGCACATGGATCTCACAGCCACCCGTGCCCTCCAACCCCCACCCCCCACCCAGGCAGCGTGCCGGGATGTGCTCACTGCTAGGCAAGGCCCTGCAGTCAGCACAAGACAGGGCTGGCTGGGGGCTTTGGGGATGCGCAGCTGCACTGTAGTGAACCTCCGGGAAGGTGATCCCTCGGGAAGCGGGCGGGCAGCCAGCCTTCGGGAGGGCATGGGCTTTCGAAGGAGTCACAGTGTGGGGGTGAGGGTGGAGGTGGGGGTGGGGGGGTGTGCTTGTCAGGAAAGGAAATGGATTTCGAGTATCTGGTGCGGCTGCTGCAGCAGCTGCTGCCGCCACTCCCCAGGCTGCCCTTTGCCCAAAGCCCTGGCCTTGCTCCAAGTGTTTAAGGAATATCTGTGTGCCTTTTCTACTCCCGTGGCTGGGGCGGTAGGGCGCACTTCCGTTTGCTGGAAGCTGTGTGACGTATATTTCAGTGGCTAACACTCAGCCAGGCAGGCGAGCACGTATCCATGTGGGCCTTAGCTACACCCCGCAGATGACCAGGAGGGTCCGTTATGAAACCTTCAGGCCAGCAGCCCTGGTGTCAGCGCTTTTCCTTGTGAATCAGAGAACCGTGCTCTGTGGAGGCTCCAGATGGGTTTTTCTAGATCAGTAGGCCTTTCTTCTGAGACACCTCTGGGTGACTTGAGCCTCCGGCCTTTCCTTTGGCCGCCCAAGTGCATCGCTGCTCGCACAACCCAGGGACCTCGTCCGGTCTCCCCACTGCCAGCGAGTGACCCTAGAAGACAAAGGAGAACTTCCCCATAGAGCATCCAGTTGTCCCAGAACCAACCGGCCTCATCTGCCCCTCATGGTGGCCGGTGGGTTCAAACCACCCACCTTGCCGATTAGCCAGGAGCTGAAGCCATGTGCCCTCAGGGACTCGCGGTGAGGCTTAGAAGGAGACAAGGGAACCCCGGGTTAGCTAGTCGCCGAGAGCCGGGTTCCATCCAGGTCTCTGGGATGTTGCCTCCAGTTGACCCCCCCCTTTGGGAAGATGGTTGACCAGAGCTTTCCTGCCCTGGCCTAAGTGGAGAGGCATGTTAACAGCCGGAGGTGGTCAGGGTGCACCGTGCTGGGGTGGGGGGGGGGTCAGGGGTAGCCCTGCTGGGCAGCTCAGCACCCTGGGTTCCTGAAAGGGCAGGAGAAGGGAGCCATCTGTCTCAGGGAGCCGCGGGGGATGGAGCAGGCAGGGACTTCCAGGGCCGCAGGGATTGACGGTGCTTTATTTCAGAGACGCCACACTGGTTCCCACGGCAACACTGGAAATTTTAAGATGCCTCGTGATGACACACATTCAGAACAAAGTTTGTAAAATGCCTTTTGTATGTCGCGTGGAAATTTTATTTTTAAACAATAAAACTTTTACCAACATCCATGTCCTGGAGCCTCCTTTGGGGGGAGGGATTGGGGTGGCATGCAGACCTCGGGATTCTGTACCAAGAGCCCTCGGGGGAAGGGCAGGAGTGCCCCCAGGCTGGAGCGAGGCCTTCCACCACCCGTGGGTGGACCCATCGCCAACCACAGAGGGTATGTAGGCATTTGCCGAGGGTCCAGTGACAGGTCTCACTCAGCCTGAGAACAGTCCCCCCCAGCCTTCTTGGCACGCACTAGACGGGGAAGGTGCCCCCAGCCAGGTGGCAGAGGGGGGCACTGGGAGGCTATCTTGAGAGAGCAGCCTGGCCCCACTGGGAAGGCTGTTGGGGCCAGGGGAGGTCAGGTTGCAGGGCTGCTGGAGGTACAGGGGGGAGAGAGTTGCTGACCATCGCAGAACGCCACCCTGGGCTCCTGTGGGTCTGCGGCCACTGCAGGGCGGCCACAGGACAGCAGGAGAGCAGTGAGCTTGGCCGCAGGGCCACTGGCAGGTGAGGAAAGCAACTCGAGACACGCCCAGGGCCCAAGGGGGTGGGGCAGGAAGGCGGCCCCCAAAGATCTCAGGGTCTTGCTTCCCTGAGGCACTGTCTGTTCCCTGTTCCCCTGGGCTGAGGGCGGAAACAGCCATGTGGCTGCTGCCAAGATTCCAGGCCATGGTGAAGGCAGCCCCGGGGAATGGTGAAGTTTATCACCTGGCACCCACTCTCCCCCTTTGGGGAGCACACTTTTAAAAGAACCTTTTATTGTGAATGAGATGTGAGTTTGCATATGAGATCATCATGTTGGCATTCAACAACACAAATCACCTATTACACCCCCCTCCCTCACCCCTACACACACAGCTTGCCCTGTTCCGGCCCCTGCCCCCTCCTCTCCATCTCCCTCTTCTCCACCCAAGTTTACACCTATCTACCTTCTAGTCTGTTACCTTCCCACCCGTTCTT